CCCATGTGCCTGGGTAAGCTCTGCGTCTGTTCTCTGTTCCTGTGTTAGCGACATGTATGTGGCTTCTGGTGCTTGACAGAATGGGATAACAGAGAAAACAAATCCTACTCTTATTCTAGGTCCCTTTCTGCTCACTGCATTGCCTTTCCCTGCATGTACAGCGGCACTTCTGGCATGGCTCCTGCAATTCACAGATGTTTTCTAACGACTATATGTTTCCCTTAATCCAAGCCAAACTGTTTCAATCTTTCAGGAGATATTTAAAATATCTGATGTCCTGATGACATTCTCTTCTAATACTGCTTTATATTTATTTAGAATATCTTTTCTATCATTCCTAAGATTTTGCTTGAATGAAGAAAGTAGATATATGAGGTCAGTCTGTAATCTTAATTTTTTCATTTGGATGTTGATTGATTCCACTGGTTCTCCTCGTTATGTGTTTATTTCCCTTTATCCATTCCTGCTCTGACAGCAGCTTTCACACTGCTAACTGATATAGTGCCTTATTTAAATGGGAGTCACAAAAATATTTAATTGTTTAAAACTTCCCACAGCATAGAATACTTTAGTGCAAATAAGATAAAAAATAATTGAATTTACAGAAGGCTCCAGATTCTGTAATAAAAGCTAACCAAAATGACTACTGGATAAAACTCTTAATTTAAGTAGGAAAAGGTGGCATTAGTTTTAGTATCCACACTTCATCATATGGAAAAAATAATCTAAGTAGTCTGCCATGTCAGTAGTCCATTAAAAAAAACATAGGCCAGGTATATACTAATCTAGTTTATTTTGGCCCAGTTTTCTAAAAACATAAGAATGTTTTTAGAAAAAAAAAATTGTGTTAACTTTGAGCAAAGATAATTGTTGCACAGTTTCATGGGATTTAATTTGTTGCTTTTGTGTGTTTTAATTTTTTAAGATGATTTTAAAATATCATAAAGTACTTCATCTGTTGTATTTTATTATTCAGTGATTTTTACTGAGTACCTACTAAAAACTAAAGTGCTGGAAATGAAAAGAGATGAACAAGACAGTGCCATCAGAGCACTCATGGTATACCTGTATTTTCACACATCTCAACCTATTGTATTTCCCTGTTGTCATTGGGGACTGGCAAGTTAGGTTGAGAGCCCCGTGAAATATATCGAGACTGCTTCATCTTCTTTTTGTATTCTCAATATCTGGAAAAGGCCTTAGTCATAAGAGTTGTTCAATAAATGTTTAATTGATTAGTAGTAGTATATTTGCATGCTTATAAGACCAAATATACGACTCAAATAAGATTGTTATTCAATAATACACTAATCAGGACAAATAGAAATAATAACGCTTCACAGATCAATTGCTACATATATAATTTGTACATTTTATGTAGAGACAGATCCAGATATGATATCCAGAAAGATTAAAAACTTTGAAGAAGCAGCTCTTGCCCCATATCCAAAATCTCCATTCTGGCACTTTTCCTTTGATAACACAAGTTAGCGTAGTACCTGGAGAGTAAATTGGTCAATCTTATAAATGTTCACTTAATTGGATAGCTGATGTTCTATTTCCTTTCCTACAGACTTTTGGATCCTTTTAAACATTTCATAATCCAAAAGATATTGAAAAGTTCAGGTACCAGTAGGCAAAACTTACTATCAAGAGAGGGGAAGGGAAGGTACAGTTAGTGAAATACCCTCTTCTCTGCAACTGACAATAAGAAAGCTTTCCCTGAGAAGAGAATAATTGTTGCAAACTAATGGCAGTTGCATTTATAAATGATTCACCATCTCTATATAAAGGTATCATAATTCCTCACATTAGCATTACAGGATCACAGAATTCTTGAGATATAAAGGAACAGGTAAGGAGTTTTGTGAATATTCAGTTAGAAAAAGCCCATATTCTTGCAGACAAGGCTTTTGAAGTTTGATCTCTAGACATTTTAAGATCATTTCTCTCTATCGCATCTTCTGGCCTAGTCATAGGAGATAATCGTTATCATTCCCTTGACAGGTCCTGTATTTTCATGCCTGCACTCAGTCTCCTCCCTCTACCTATAACACTCCAGCTTTTTTTTCTGCCTGGTGAAATCCTCTCCATGGTTTAAGATCCAGTTAAACTTCATCTGCTTTGGGAAGCATTCCCCACCTCTCCCAAGGGCATTTTTACCTTAGCATAACATTTGATTCATTGTGCTGATCTGTCACTGTCTTGTGACTACCTGTGTCATTTCCACTTATACATGATATCTTTCTCTTAATTCTGGGGCCCCTAAAAGGCAGAACATTCTATCCCCTAAACAAGGGACCTGGAATACATTAAATATCCAACAGAATTTTAATCCCACCATCCGATTTTTTAAATTAAATCATCTAATTCTCTAATTTTACCTATGGAAACTGAAGCCTAAAGAGATAAGGAGCTTGTCAATCATCAGGGAACAAATCTCTTCCAGAGTACAGATAACAACTCTCTCTTTCCTTATCCACCAGCTCATAAGGGAAAAGGGCTGGCATATTAGAGTCTAGAGTAACAAACCCACCCTTCTTGGCTATTTGCTTAACTTTTTACTGAAAACCTAACTCCTACACTGTATTGCTGGCAATGGTAGTTTTCCTCAATAACAAAGACTTCCCAGTTCAGAACATATACATATGTAGCTAATAGGAAAAGTGAGTAAAAGTCCAACATGATAAACAGGGAGGTATGTCAAACTCCTATTCAGTCTATGAAAAACCTACTTATAATTCTAACTTTGCTTCCTTAAGTACAGAGAGAAGGAATAGGTCATTTGGAAAATCTGACCAAAAGTGCACATTTCAACACAGTGAAATTCTTTATCCCCCATTGCTCCTACCACACCAGGAACTTTCTATATGTGATTATTTAATCCCCAGCCAAAAGCTAGTGGACAATGAAATCTCCACAAAACGTTTTCCCCAGTGAAATCTTCAAACATCAGTTCCACAGAAAACCTTTTAATAAAAGCTTTACATGTAATTTTTCCATGCCAATTTTTTTCACTTAAGCCTAAAAATGCCCATATTTGAATATTCATCATTATGAGCACTGTCCAACAGTGTACATCATTTGACTATGGGATCTTGGTTCAGGGGTGGGGGGCGGGTGGTAGGTTTGGGTGGCTGTGACTGTGCTGATTATTTTCTGCTATCCACTGCTGTTGGATTTTCTCCAAATGAGCAGTTTGCTTCCATGCAAGTTCCTGTGGATTTCTCAGTGGCTCACTATGAAGAGCAAAATGAAGCCACAAATCACAAGGACATTTTTGATATTTTATGAGTTTTGTCTTAAACCAATTAATACTAAGCCCATGGTGGTGGGAGCAACCATAAAGGACATGGTGGTGTTGCACAACAATGTGAATGTACTTAATGCCATGTACCTGTACATCTAAAAACGGTTAAAATAGTAAATTTTATGTTATGCATATTTGACCACACACACACACACACACACACACACACACACACACACACAGGACAACTTATAGAAGCTTGTCCTAAACCCTGAATCATGACAGAGGGAGAAAAATCAAATGACGTTCTGCATTGACAGAGCAAATGGCTTTTACTTTCCATCCCAACAGGCCATTTAACAAGGCTCTCCACCTTGCTCCTTTCCTCCAAAGAGTGGAAAGAAGAAAAGAAACTACTGTCAAATGAAATGTAAATCACAGAACCATAACCCTTTGAACACGGATTGGATGATAATGTCACCCATTACTCAACAGCTCCAGTCTCTCAATTGACTCCCTCCCAACTCCTATCTTTCACAAAAACAGTGAACAGGTGTCCAGTATGGCTCTGGATGTGTTTAAATTCTAGACAACTGTCAGAGTAATTCCCTATAGAATTGTTCTTACAACTTTGAAGTAGGTTATGAAAAAGCTCTAAGATAACAGATGAGGAACAGAGAGTGCTGTGCAAACACGGAGGAGATTCATCAGTGAGCCGACTAGTTGTCTTTTGAGTTTCTAAAAGGCATCACGTAGTGCCCTTATTTCAGAAAACCCTGGAGAACAGAAAGAAGAACCATTGGGAAGAAGTTACAAAAAGGCACAGTTTCATGTAGTTTCGAAAGACACATAACCATCTGGAAGGAGAAGCCATTTATCCATCCAATTAGACGTCGGATTTACATAACTGCCCTGGAGATGTTCCATGGGAGGCAAACGATGTAGACACCTGGGGGTGCAGTCTAGGGCGAAGCTCAAAAGGAGCACACTGAAAGGGGAGAAGGTGCATGCAAATCAGCCTGATCTATGGGGCAAGGAGAGGAGCAGCAGGGGAAAATAGAG